ACAGACTAAAGATGAAATTATTATGGATCTGTGTTCAGGATTAAAAGACAGCTGGCTTTTATTGGCAGTATTTGTTGTTTAGGCCCATTTTATTATGCAGGGTTTCCTTACCACAGCAAAGAGCCTGTGTTCTGTCATGTAATAAACATGAATGCAAATAGATCCAGTCCAATCCATGAATCTTGTCATATGCCAATTAGACTGGAGCTTATTTTGGGAGGTGGAGCAGAAGGGATGTTCTTGGATGCAGTAGAATCATGGAAAGTAAATGTGTGCCCAACTTCTCCAAGGTAAATTTGATAGAGACAAAAAAAGAGGAGTTACTTATTTCTTTCCCTTGGTTGAGTTTTCACTTTACTGGCTATCCTTTTCTACAAGTAGAAAGAATCAGCTGAATTGGACTTTGCCCCCACTGCTGCAGTGTAGTGGTTTGCTTTCCATAGCAATGATACTAAAGATTTTTAAAAATGCAAGGTAGTGGGTGGGTGTGTGAATAGCGAGGAGGCTTTTTCCTTTATACCAATGGCTGAATTTTCAATTCTCCTCTCAAATTGTAGTTAGAGGGGAGTGTGGAGGTAAGCCAAGGACTGATGAGAGTATATTGGTTAGTGCTTTCGTTTTTCTTCAGCTGTAATATTTCTAGAGGTCTATACTGGTGTTCAGTGTTCTCGTATTAAAAATCATATGTATGTCGTATTTAAAAGGATGGTCTGTGTGAAACCTGTTTTCTTCAAAACCTAGTTATTCAACAGCTTCTGGCCATCCATCTCTCTTTCCAGATTAGAAATCTGTGTTTTGCTTGTGACTCTGCAGCATGTGACTTCTCCCCCAGTCCCTGGCTCTCCTTAGCCTGTATTTCTGTTGCATGGGATTCTGAGTATCTTGTCTCCCATTTCCTGTGTGTCAGCTGCCTGTCTGGTAACACGAGAGTGGGACTCTCTGTTTCACCATACAGCAGTTGAGAAAAAGTTGACTTTCTGAGCTTTCTCGAAGGTTGTGTAATGTCCAGTGATATGTTGATTCATTATCAGGATCTTTGTGGAGAAGACAGAGGAAGTGATGAAAAGTATGCAAAGTTGATACTTTCTCTAAAGTAAGAGGAAAAAGAGTAATGTTTATAGCAAATAATAGGACTGTTTGCTGTGTCTTGCTTTCTGTTCCTGAATATGCAGGTACCTTCTGTAACTGGAATCACATTAAGGTGGGATTTTCAGCAGCTGGTTTTACTGGTGACTCAGTCCTAGTAGTAAGTCTTTCTAGGTGGGTGATTAGTATATAGGGGAATGCCTGTTCTATTCCAATGGGTGAGTATGGATCCTGGTGATTTTTCCAAGCATGCTTGCACGGAGACTGTCTTTTGAGTTTTTTGACTGTTCTTGTCTCTGCTTCCCTTGTATTGGTCAAAGAGTTGGAGTGAGTGTGGTAGCTGATTTGCACTGGCATTAGAAGTATTTAAGGCAATTTGGCTGCAGCTGGAGAGTACTCACCCAGCAGGTGAGTACACAGCTTCCTGATCTAGTTTTGAATGTTTCTGGCAGAGATCGACTCATCAGTACCCAGAACAAGGGGTTTTGGTTATACAACGGTATCATCTTCAGGCTATTATCATTTAAAAAAGAAAATAAAATGTTTCAATACAGAATAAAACAATGTGATTAAACTTCAGAAACCTTTTCTAATACAGCTTGAACCTAATTTACACAGAAAGGAGTAAAGGGGTTGCCTTTGTACCATGTTTGCCATGTACCACTAGACTCCATAATGTTTGCCTGTTGCATGTAGCTATTACAATAAAATACTCCGTGCAACCTCGTACGGCATGCAGAAAATTCTTCATTTGTGGGTATACTAGATCTATATATGTTCTCATAGTGTCAGGATTCTGTTATTGCCATGCTCTTACTTCACCAGAGGCAAAACTCAGCCTGAAATTTGACATTTTTGTGGCTTCCTGCAGGAAACTGTGAAAATACTGCTTGCTTTCTGACAGTCACCATGGAGAAAATGGACAGTGTAGCTTGTTGATAGGCTTGAAACTTTGCCAGGAGGCTGTGTGACTTCTGTTCTTCTTGAATGCATTTGTCTGTGCTGTCCTCTGTTCCAGGCCTAGGTATGGTAGCAACTTAAAAGTTTCTGGACAGCACGAGTCTTAGCGTTAACCTGTCTTGCACTCTCTACATGCTTTCACTAGTGCACAAGTATGATTTAAGGGGTTTCTCAAGTTCCTTCTCCTTTGTGCCTGCTACCAAAGTTGAGGCCAGGGGATACTTCTTCTTAGTGACAGGAGAAGCTATAATCGGGGACAGAGACTTCTCAATTGTGTTAAATTCACTCATATCTGGGCAGCCCTCAAGACACTGCAATTTGCACTTTTGAAGCTGTGGATGAAAATACATCTCTACTGTTTGTTCTCTGTTATTACTTCATGTAGCTACTACAGCATTAGTGCTTTTACCTGCTACTAAAACTACAGCTGTGTTCCTAAACTACAGCATGGCAAAAATTAAGGCAACTCTATCCCTATTTCTACCATCAGACCTATGGTTCAGTTATAAGAAGCTCTCAAGGGCTGATAGATTCATGGCAAATAGAAATTGAAAAAAATCTCTGATCCTCTGGAGCTTAGTGGTGTCCCGTTAATGCATTTCTTCCAAGTTTATCAGTTCAGCTTAGTGTTGGTGATCCAGGCACAACTTGGAGGAGATGCCTCAGGGAAAGAAAATAATCACAGCCGGTGGTCTCCCAGGCAGCTTAAAGAAATATGAACATTGCAGTTGCTGCTTCTCAGATGATTTATTCTTTTTCTCCTCAGTAAGATGAATAAATTCTTCCTGAATTAATCTGGTTGACACTTCCTCCTTTTGTTTTCTGTAGATCTTTCAACTTCAGATCTGGAATAAAGCTCAGTCTTCCAAGTGATATTCTTTGGACTACAGCTTTTAATCTGTACTGCTTCTGTACTGGTAGTCAAAATTAGGACACCAAGAATAAAAAATGGAAGGGGTGAGAGAAGCACAGCCTATATTGTGAGAATGTGTACAAGCACTTTAGAAACCTTTTTAATGAATGTCAGTTTGCAAGAGGAGAAAGAGGGTGAGTGATAATAGTCAGGGAACACCTAATCTGTTTTAAAGCTTTAGTTGTTTTTCTGTGATGAGCAGGAAGACAGATAAACACAGGCACTTACGCTCAGTTCCTGCCGCTGGACCTGAAGTCACTAAGTGCTTAGTAGAGTCTAAGCTTAGTGAAACACTTACTGAAAGTGGTGCCCTTTTAACTATTTTATTGGCCTCTTATGATGGAGAAGAGCATAGATCTTAAATTTTAGTGTGTGACAATGGATGAAGAACAGTCTTAATCCCATGCCAGTACAAAATTGTGAAAAATGGGAACTGTGCCTTGCTGTAATAAAGCTTTTAACAGTGGCTTGCCAAAGGAAAAGAGAAACTGATTTGAAACTCGAAGTCTATGTAACTGGCTTGGATGAGCCGTGTTACAATCAAATAAGGCAGGGGGGAAGCTTAACCCTCCTCAACCCTAAATTACCTAATCGGTGAATTAGGGAGCAATCAAATTAAGGTAAATGCAGATGTAACTAAAAACAGTTCTCTAAATATGTTGCAGGATGGATGATCTGTCACTTAGCTGTGATTACAGTGCTTTCAAACACTTCTTTTTGTTTAAAGTCACCAGATAGATCTTTGAAAATTGCTTAATTTTAAATGGCTACAGGACGAGTAATAACATGAAGTTTGAACCAGTGAGATGTTCTCAAAAGCCAGATCAAGAAAAATAGTTAACTGAGTGAGTGAGGCTAGTTGGGTACCAAGAACAAATCTTTTCACTGGATTCCAGGGGCTTTGGCCTTCGTGCCAACATAAATATGGGTGTCTCTCTAACAGCAGAATTGCATTAGATTAGTTTGTGCTTTTTGGAAATTTATGATATGAAATATACAGTCCACTTTTATACTTCCCTGTTTTAAGAAAATAGGGAGTTAAATGTTGAACTGGGCACTCCTTTTTCCTCTGGGTGTTTTGAAGAGAACTGAGGTCTCCTCTTATAAACACGAGAAAATTATTTTAGAAAGTTGGTCAGACACGCAGTGTTCTAAAAGCTAAACTGCATTCACTAAAGCACTTCAGATGGTCATGCAGGCCAGAACAGAGGTTTATAGCTATGTAGCATTAATTTTGGCTGTTGTTGGGCAGTGCTGAAGTTCCTGTTGTTTGCAGTGGAGTGCAGTAAACAATTGGCTTATGCTGGAGGCAGATGTGGAGACTACTGTCCCTCAGTGAGTGAAGAGGCATCTAGTTAATATTAAGCTCTGCCTTTATCCTCTCTCTTGTCCTGTGGCCTTCTCAAGTTCTGCAAGGAAGCTAACCGTTCTACTGAAAGGAATGGATGACCTTACTGTCCTGCTAAACACAAAGTATGCCAAGTATGGGGAAGAGGGGGGCAGAGAAGGTAAATATTCAGACAGACACACCATGCTACCTGTGTGCCTCTTTAAAATTCACATGAAAAATTATTTTTTCTCGTATTCTTTCATCTCTGATGTGATAATTAAGTACACTCAGCATGTTCAGGCAAATCTGAAATGCCCTCTGGTACAGACTCATGCAGCTGAAAACCTTTGTTTTTGAAATAAGCTGTTCTGAATTTGCATGTTGGTGGCTTTTCTCAGATGTCTGATACCAGGCTGTCATCTTTTTTTGTTCTTTCAGAGCATTGTCTGTAGTGTGCCCAAATCTGTTTCCAGTATGTCTACACAACTCGGTGATTTTTTTTGGGTGCACTTGTGTCCTTAGAGATTGTGAGTGATTTCAGTGAAACCACAAAGGACCACAACCATGAGACAGTTTGCAAAATCATAATGATGATGACTGTATATGTGCATAGTAAAGTGTATTTCCTGCAAGGAAAAGTTCTTGTCACACAGGTTTTAGCAGTGTGGGTTAAGTGTTCCTGTACTTAATTTTCCTTTTATGTTCACTTTAAGATTACATGATGGAATTCATGTTTTTTCAAGAAAAGCTGCGTATCTTGGATCAATACCGTTGATGATATCTTCTGATTGCAACACCTGAAGCAGGGTCCTGTAACAAATTTGTCAAAAGAACACATACAATGGATCTCAAAGAAAGCCGCCCAAGTGTTAGCATTCCCAGCTCTGATGAACATAGAGAGAAGAAAAAAAGATTCACTGTAAGTATGTAAGAGTGTAAGCACTGTAGGCAAATGCATAGGCTATTAGTGCCTAGAAGTGCTACTTTCTTTTATTTTTGCTAGTAAGCTTGGAATTATTTTCAACAGATTTATGGCAATCTGTTCACTTGCTCTTATGAGTACTGGCCATAGTCCAGTGTGAGAAGTTGTGAATGTTTTACAGTGTTTAACTGTGTTGCTTTCTGCAAAAAGAATTTGGCTTTACAAATTTCTGGTACTTTTAACCCCAAATAGCAGCATTTTCTCATCTAAAATATGTAAGTGCCCAAATGCAGGGATAACCTTTTGGTACCAAATTAGATTAAGATTTGGCATCCTATGTGATTTTTCATGAAAACATTTATTTTTTTTAAATGGCAGTTTTTTTCATAGATATCCTATTATACTTTTGTGTAAGACAAGAATGAAATTCTGGAAAGACCTTTTTTCTGTCTTCCTTTCTGTTTTCTGATTCTAATGCCTATGAGTTTTTTCCTATCCTTTTCTCATCTCCACTCCTTGTCATTCCCCTCCTTCTTTTTTTGGCTTCCCAATTTGACTTGCTTTCTGGAAGTCTTCCCATTCTCTGGGAAAACTCTTCGCATTGCATGCTGAAAAATAGTGGGGCATGGGTTTTTGATTTGCTTATATATATGCTGGGAAATAAAGACGGCATCATAATACTTCCTTTAAAAAGCTCAAACTATTTCATTGGTCTTGTGCAACTTCCTCTAAGCTTTTTTTTTTTTGGAGTGACTTAGTCACTCTTCAGATATGGAATGCAAACACCCTTGGACTGAATTGCTGCCTGAATCCAACAAAACAAAGATTTACTTCGTATATCTGTCTTTCCTCTTCACCTCCCTTCGTCAAAGAAGAATAATGCTGTTTGATTCTCCAAGTGTATCAAGATGTAATTTGGGAAAGGATTATGCTGGTGAAAGGAACAAGCAATAGAGGACTTTACTAATACTGGAAACTGCTGCATGCATGCAAGCTCAAATGAGCAGGAAAAACTTCATAAAAGTCTAAACTTGAGCAGAACAGATTTGTTTTATTGTGTCAGCGCTGGCAGTCTTGCTGTTAAAGTGTGTCAGTGTGTGTGCCAGTACTAGTGTTGTGATTTTCAGGTCATTTTACCTAAAGATCTGTGTGACAACCTTAGTAACTTAAAGGCACTTTGTTTGGGCGTGCCTTTAGAAAGCTGTATGAGCAAGGGTAGGACACTTCAGAAATTGGGGGTC